CTCCTTGAAATTCAAGAGCACTGGACTGTCATTTTGGAGGATGTGTGTGTGTGTCTCCAAGTCGGCACAACTGAGCATGGAAAGGAAGGCTCTTGTTGAAGATTTGTCGGATTCTTACTGTCTGGGCCTCTCACTTCAGCACTTAAAGTAACATCCTCCCCCTACCCCAGCACAGCTGTCACTGGTACAGTCGGTTCATGTGTCCAACCTGAATTCCCCACCTGGTAAGAAGTGTGCTTTGTTCTGAGGGTTTTCATTCTGTCTTGCCGGTTCTCTCACTCTCTACGACAAGGAGGCACAAGGAATGAACAATCAGCAGGCATCACTTCAACTAAAGTGCTTCTGGGAATTCAGTGCTGTAAGATATGACTTCAGTATGCCAGCCTCGCTTCTGAAAGATCAAAAAACTTGTGAATTGATGGTAGGATTCAGAATTAAACTCCAAGATTCATCCATTCATGTCATAATTGATATTTTGATCCAAAGAACTTTCCTTTCATTCTGTAGTGCTTGAAAAGAAAGCGAAACAAGACCAAAAAATGCCTAAAAGAAACAAAATGGTTAAATATAGCCAAAACAAGCGAGCAAGTGTCTAGTTAAGCCAGCAGATATCCCTGTGATCGGTGGACTGAGAACCAACAGCAGGTTGGCGTGAAAAGATCTCTTCTGCTTCTGTTCTTGCCCGTGTGACAGGCTGGGAGGATGAACATAGTCCAGACAGCATGCATGTTCAGTCTTTGTGCTCACTAGGCAGCTTCCCCTGGATACATTCTTGTTCTGGAGTTGTGCACATTTTACAGTGGGGCCTTCTGGCAGGAAAGGAGGCCTGGTGAGAGCCTCATACGGCCTCAGAATGCTCCCAAGCTAATTGTGATGGAGAATCCAGAGTCCTGGGTACCAGAAGCATGGCTGATGGTGAGGGGTGCATGGTAGGTGAGCATACATCCCCTGCATGGAGCCCTTGCTCTCTCTCTCTCTCTCCTTGCTTTAAGACAGGTAAGGCAGGAAGGAGGCCAGCATTGATCTCTCTCAAAGTCAGGACACTGGGAAGAGTGCTCAGTGGCTCAGCTACATGCCCAGTACTGCTTAAAATCCTGTAAGAATGGGCTAAAATGCAAATTTCTGAATTTTACCCCTAGACACCCTGATGTGGCAGTGCTGTGGTAGAGACCAGAGATCTGCTGTGTAACCACAGTTGACATCCTGGCATTTCCTGGTGTGGCTCAGCTGGGTGAGGGATGTTTACCAGCAGGAGAGCTGCCTCTTTCCACTGCCCGCCCCCGGCCCGGTGACTCACTCCTGCTTGCTGGCCTCCTGTTGCAGTTGTCTGCAGACCTCGCCTGCTTCCTCGGTACTAGCACAGGTCCTGTTTCCCTGCTGCCTCTGGGACTGCTGTTTCTTCTGTCTTAGCTTCTGTCGTAGGCGATCTCATTATTGTCCTGCTTGCTGCTGCCATCCAGCTAGAATCAACCAGGCCATATCTGTTGCAAGGAGAAAAGACATCTCCTTTGTATGTTCTGCCTCTGTCTGCTAGGCTTAAGCTGTCTCACTAAGTGGGGGTCACCAAATGTAGCATTATGGACCCCCACTGACACCTATGAAGAAGCTCATGTCCCTCAATATTGTTTTCATGTGTTTTTTTTTCCCTCACCAGAATTTAGGGCCACCCCTTGTAAAAGAGGCTCCACAGAGCACATCAGCCTCCTTTACCATGTGAGGACCCAGTGAGGAGGTCTTCTCTATGAGGAAGCATGACCCACCATACACACGGGCCTTCTCATGCCCTGAAGCAGAACTCCTGGCCTCCAGAAGTGTAAGAAATAGATTTCTGTTGTCTGTTCTCGACCCAGTCCATGGTGGTTTGTTACAACAGCCCAAATATGCTGATACCATTTCCTGTCCTTCTGAATGTTCTTAGTATGAAGGTTCAGGACATGACAGTCAACCACTAACACCCTTTTCCTGCTGCTTTCAGGGTGCAACAGTTAATTTGCTAAATTTCCTGCGTTTCTAGGGTAGATTGACTTGAGGACCGAGCTTCTGTATGACCACTGTTGCATTTACATGATAAATTTCTTGTAGGTTTAGACAAATAATTATAAAATGATTCTTTACTATCTGTGATCTATTAAGGGACTGACAAGAAGCACCAAGACTGGAAAAGGTGAAAAACTATAAAGTTTGTAATTATTTTAGAATGCATTCAGGTAAGGGCTTGAACTACACACACACACACACACACACACACACACACACACACACACACGCATGCACGCACGCACGCACGCACACTTCTTAGTTAGAAGGCATTTAGGTATTATTATAGTTTGAATAAATATTGCCCCGAAGGTGCATGTATACAAGACTTGGTCTCCAGTCCATTGAGAGGACGGGAAATTTACAGGGAGGGCCTCATGGGAGGTTTCTAGCTACAGGGCCATGCCCTGGAAGAAGATATTGGCTAGTCCTTTTTTCTTTCATTCCTGGCCATGAATAAGTAGCTTTGCTGTCACAGGTGCCTCACTGTAATGTGTTATTTGCTGCAGGCTTAAAAGCAAAGGCATACGATCATAGGCTGACACCTTACAAACTGAGCCAAGATAAGGGTTTTCTTTTTGTAACTGATTATCTCAGGTATTTGATGTTTTTCTTTTAAAGAAATGTTTATTATTACTTGTTTGCAGTATATAATGATTGTATTCCTTGTGGGGAGCTGGTACACGTACAGAACACCTCTTAATTATTTTTTATTCCCTGTCCCTCCTCTCTCCCCTCCCCATTTCTTGGTTCCTGCCCATTTGTTACAATAATAAAAAGCTGACTAACACAGGTACTGAACAAAAATCAACACAGTCCTGAAATCTGTTCTAATAAACCCATGCACATAAAATGGCTGTGTATTTATAAATAAACTGTGTGTGTGAATGTGTGTGAGTGGGCAAGGGTGTGCAGAACTCTGGCTTCATATGTTGTAAAACAATACCTTGATATGCCCATGCGAGTTTCTTCACTAGCTGATTTTTTTTGCTTCTTTGCCTTTTTCCTTTTCATTCAGTGGCAATTATTGCCTTGGGAAGAAGTGAACCAGCGGAACACTTAGCAAAAGAGTCAAATGTTCGTCTTTGAGGTAGTGGATTCACTCTTCTGCACATAAGAGATGGTGCAAAATAAAACAATTAGCCTAAACCAATTTTCCCACTTGAATCTGTGTACAAAGTCATCTACATACAAAGCTCTAGGTGAAAAGAGAGAATCAGAGGACTGAAAACTTGGATCCCACACCAGAACCCTGTGCAGATTCTGAGGGTCGGGAGTGAACGGCTCCTCCCCCTCACTAAGATTTTGGCAGTGAAAGTCAGAAAGGTCCACGGAATCAGGTCTGCTGAGTAAGGCGGAAGCTGTCATTTGTACACAACCATCAAGAAGTGTAAATACAGGAAGTGTCGCCATGGTGTTTCCAGACAGGTAGGCGTGACAGAGCCTCGAAGAATGTCCTCAAAGCCAAGGACCCGTGGGAACCCAGAGAATTTTATGTGGTTGAGAGCTCCTTAGTCATGCAAGAGAGCTGCAGTTGAGTCACTTGGTACAGAAATAAATGATACAGCAGGAAAAGTTAGGGCTGTGTGGACCAACAACTGAAAGCGAGATGGGAACAAGACTGTGTAAGTGGATGCTGGCTAGGGTACATGATTATCCAACTCAGTGCTGTTTTTCATTATATGTTTTGGCTGCAAAGCCCAAGGATGGAATATGGTGTTTCATCAAGCCCAAAATAATCTTAGTTATTATCAAGCCCAAAATAATCTTAGTTATCCAAATAATACTTCTCCCCTATTACTTTTTTCTTTTCTTTGACAAGTCCAATGAAAAGTATGTAAGAGCCACGCCACACCTTTTCTATGCTTATTATTTTCTCTTTTGCATTTTTATTTTTATATCTGTGTATATCATTTTCAAAAATTTCTCATGACCTATCTTCCAGTTAAGTAATTTTTTTCAGCTGTGTTTTGCATACTACGTTTGTTTATTGAATTCTTAATTTTAGTTATCAGAATTTTCAGTTGTAAGAGCTCTAATTTGCCCCTTATATGTGCCAGAATTTTAATTTCCTTGAACTTAGCAAACATAGTTCTGTAAAATTTTATTCACTAATTCCATTATCTAGAGCCCTTAGGGTCTGGTTTTGTTGCTTGTAGATGCATTCATAGTGTGTTGTTTTTACACATATCTGGCTAACTATGATTATGTGCTGAGTGACTATTTTTGGTGAGTAATTTTTCAAACATAATGTGTACAAATTATTTGAAGTCTAGAACGCAGTGTTTTGCCCACAGAGGGAGTTTTAAAATTAATTCAGTTATGTGCCTGGGAACACTAATAATTCAGGGTGACACTAACTCAAGTACCAGATTTTAACATTTTTTCAGGTCACTTAGCATATCTTTAGTTCCTAAAAGAAATAATGTAGTTTTCCATTACCTTTCCTCACAGGGTGCAGCGCTTTGAGCTGTCAGTCCGAGGTGGAAGATAGTTTCCGAACTGAATTCCTACCTTGCTGGCTCTAAACACTTGATTTTTGTCTCCTCTGTGAAGCTATCAGAATTACAGTAACCCATGGGCCTTCCCTCTATTGGCGAATACACCACTCTCAAAAGCAGCACAAGTGTCAAGCTTCCCTAACTAGATTCCCATCATGTCTGCATCTGTGACTGATAATTCATTAGTATGCTTTTAGTGCTTGAATGCTTCCAAGATTTCAGTCTTTTAAAATTTCGTCCAGCTTTCTTAGCCATCTTTTGTGAGAGAATTGGTTCACACTAACTAGTCTGCCAGAACAGTAGCAGAAGCTTTGACAGAGAATTCTGTTCCATAGTTAAGCATAGCTAAGCAATCTTAAAGCTGCAGTTGTGACCCTGGGGCACAGCTGCACCCTGTGATAGAAATGATGAGGCAAGATGAGGCAGATTCCCAGAAACAGTGCTGAGTCGGGGCTGGGAGGACTTTGGACGCTTGACCGTGAGGAGACTTGAAGAAAAGCTATGGCTCTTTTAATTTCCGGGTAGATTCAAATCCATCTTCAGAAAGACAAAATGTAAGTGTGGACTGGGGGAGCTCGCTGTAAAACTACACTTTCTGAGTGCTTGAGGAACACCTAGGAAGGGAAAAGATGAGGCCAGCTGTCTTTAAAGACTCTGTGTCTCTCACTTTCTGAACGGGCCATCCTGGGTAGATTCTCCTGTTTGAGAGTCAAACTGCTCGTCCCTTAATCTGACATAGAATGATTGCTTAGGATACGCGGGGCAGGAGGTTGGGGAGAAGGAGGCGAATCCCTCCTTCGGGGAGGAAGTCTCATTCTATGGTAAGGCCTGACTTTTCCTTAGCTTGCAGGGGAAATATATGTGAGCTAAGCCCCGTTTTCAGCTCAGGTGCTGGTTCTCCCTTCTGGCTTGCACCTTGCTGTGAAGGGTATGCATTCAGGGAACCCCAATGGCTCACAATGTGTACGTTAAAAAAGGTTTGGAAGATCTTGAGAAGCCCAGGTGAGATCCCTGGGTTTAAAAGAACCTATGGGTTTTCTCCGTGATTTACACTCAAGAATAAAGCGGAGAAGGCCTGGATAGTCTGGCAGTTCAGGGGTCGCTGTTTGAAGCAGAGAATGCTGCTGCTTCTTCTTTCCCCTCCTGAATATCCTCTCCCCAAGGTGTCTCCCAGTAACCACTGGACTTATGACTCAGTACACACAGTCAACCCGAAGAGGCCAAGGGAAATGCAGTCCATGCAGGCTTGTGCCACTTGCGATGTGAGCTCTGGAGCAAAACTCAGCACACAGACCCACTTGGGACAGCTTATGCAAACAAAGGGAATTGGAGATGGGGACACAAGTTGTTCTCCTAAAATCAGACACAGAGAAACAGCTGAGCCTCAGGAACAAACAGGACCAGAGATCTAAACTCTTTTCTTCCTTTGTGTAACTGGGAAGCTGCTTCTACTTTTCCATGCACAAATGCAAAAGTACAATTGCTGCAAATTTCCAGCATTGCATGTTATACCTCCAGGTACTGGAAATCACAGGGGCCTCTCTCTCTTGCCAGTTCCAGAGCCTGGGGTCAGGGGTCTTCCCCTGTTCCAGCAGACTCCACAGTGGCCACGAAAGAAAGCTGTGCCATTGGGATCCATTCCTTTCACCCTGCGGATGGGCAGCCAGTGACTCAGTCTCACAGGAAAGGCGGTGAGGCATGAGGGGGAGGGGCTGAGCCACCAAAGAAGGTGCTTTGAGCTGATGTAGCTTTGTAAACTTATGAACACCCTGGAACATTTTTTCAGTCATATCAATGAAGAAATTAGGATTGATTGGTTAAGAGCTAATACTGATATGAATGAGGTAACTTCTTACATTTGCATTTCTATAATCCCAGCATTTGGGATTATAAATTAAATTTGTGTTTAGTACCTCCCAAGTCTGTATTTTGCAAAAAAAATCGCAGATATTTCAAAGATCATCACCAAAAACAATTTATAAAAAGGTTATTGAAATCATTTACATTTAGTCTCTGTGAGAATACCCATCAGACCTTCCTTACTTGACTGATAAAGAAACAGAAATGAAGTCACAAATCATACAGGTGAATTTTAGCTACTTTTGATTTCCACTGTAAATGATTTAAAAAATTTCTGCAAAATCTGGTTAAGGACAGAGGACAGGCTGACTTGATAGTAACTCAGATACACAAAGCAGCTAAATGCTTGTATTGTTGGGTTTTGCAGGCTTGGGGCCAGAGGTCTGAGCATCTCTTGGGAGGATGACAGTATGCAATACAGCAAATATGGGGGATTTTCTTTTATCTTCTCTTTGAAGGCAAATATTGTTTTCTCTGTTTTGCTTTGTTCTGATTAATTGTTTTGCTTTATTCAGCATTTTGCTTTGATTGGTCTTACTGTGTTTTGTTTTTGGTTTGATTTTGCTGTACCTGATGGAATGGACAGCTATTGTGAAGATTGCAAGACATACTATGGTAGCTATTACTGTTTTCTTGGTAACCTGCTTTGAAATGTGTACCAGTTTTGCTGCATTGTTTTGACTGCCTTTGTTCTGTCTTATTTTGTTGGATTTTATTATCTTTAAAATTTAAAAAATTCTGAATAAGGACAAAAAAAGACCAATAATGTAATTGGCAGCTTTTTATAAAGATTTAGAGTGATCAAATATCCAGTGAAGGAGAAAAATTCTTAAATTTTTCACAGCAGAGTAGAAATGGTTTATTTCTAGTCTCTCTGTCCGTGGTTCAGGTACATCTATTATCTGTTCAGCTGATCCTTCCCAATTGTCCCAATTCTTAGACAAAGGCAGTTGATTCGTGGCTCTCTTAGAAAGAAAAGCTAGTGGGGTGTATTACAGCCACATGACTCATGTGGGATCCTGCTTAAAGCTATATTTATCACGGGTGAAATAATGTTTTCAGGGGAAACTATGAGTCTACTTAAAATTACACAGTTACTTCTGTTTCAAGGGACTCGTCTTTTCAGCATGTTGTTGAGCTACAAAAGTACCCATGTCTTTTAAACTACTTGCACTGCCGGAAGAAATTCTCCCAGAGTTGCCAGAAATCAGTAGTGAAAGCTTGGATTTGTCCTGGAAACTCATATTTCTATTGCTATTTTTATTGCCTTCTTAAATCCTCATGATCCAGACTTATATGTCTTCTCGTCTTTGTTGCATTTAAACTTAGCTACTTGACTGCCTTTCTTTACACCTACCAGTCCATCATAACCCATTGTCAGGCTAGGACACCTGACACTCCAACTCTGTCTCCTTCCTTCTCAAAAACTTCCACTGGCTCCAAATTACTCCCAAGATCAAATTCCAGCCATTCACTCTGAACTTTGGAGTTCCTCAGTCTGATGCCTCTGGCTGACTTTCTTTTTGCTAATTTCTAATTGTGGGGGATAGAAACATGGGTTCCTGATATGCTAGGAGAATTTCAGGCTGAGTTTTTTTCCATTTCTTCTCCTAGTGGAGCCTGGTGTGACTTCCTTACAATGTAAGGGCAGAGGTAATCCCCAGAATAGCAAAATGAGGGGGAGCCAGGCCAGCTTTCTGCCAAGGGTGTGTCTTAGGCAGGCTCACCTTTGGCTCTCCTGCCGTCTGACATTTTTTGTTCCTTTTTTTTTTTTTATTTTTATTTAAGGAGAAAAGAAAAGAAAGAAAAAAAAAACAGTGAAGGGGTACAAGTTATACAGATTTACAGAAGAAAAAAATGCGCAGTAGGAAATCACTAGTTAATGGATTACATATTGCCATCTTAGAAATAATTGTTCAAGTCACAAAATTAAAGCTTGTAGAGTGGACATTCCAACAATGATACTGCAAACAGTTCTGTTCAATGATCCAATAAAACTCTGTGATATCATTTTCTATCTTATACATTTAAATATACATGCAGTTATATAGTTTAGAGCACTTTCTTTTCCTCTCTTTTGTACAGTGACTATTACACATTTTGGGTTTCATTGCTCCCACGGTTCTTACTGCTTTTTTGGAAGAGAGTAAAACCAAATGTGACATAACAGAACAGAATCGGTCAAGTCAAAAGGGTGGACATAATAGATAATATAAAAACATAATACAAGGTGATCAACAATGGTTACCATAATGCCTCCCGCTATTTCTAATAGAATTGCCTATATCATTAGTTGTAATACAATTGAACAAAACCGTATAGAATAAAACCGACAAAACCAAAACATTAGAGATATTGTAGGTCTTCAAAAGTAGATAAAAGTCAACGAGAATGGGCGTTATAATGAATCTCATTATCTTCTCAGCTGATGCCTAAACTTTCGAACCTGATACTATCCAGCAAAACAGAATAGAGGAACCTCAGTCAAAAACAAGATGGTGAGAGTAATACAGGGCTTCAAATCGAGATAATAGAAAGTCAAAGTGGGTTACTATATTATATCCTGCTATATTTTTCCCTTTAATTAAATGGATAAAAATAAAAAAGTAACTAATGGAGTGGAGATTGAGAAAAAAGAGGGCATAACAGCGAAACAGGGCAGATCAAAACATAACCATTTAAGCAGAATAGTGTTTCACCACCAGATAATCCTGACCCAAAAATAGTTACCATATTGACTCCCTCCTTGAAGTCCTTGAGTACAACTTCATATACTGTAGCATTAAGTATATCAAAACAATGTAAAACCATTTAAGAGAATGACAGCATTATAGAGTATTTAGAATCGACTAACAGAAAATGAACAATGGTCTCTGTATAATCTCCTTGTCTTTAAAAGGTTTTTGCTTATATTTTTGTTCCTTTTAATCTCCCCTGCTCTCTGAAGCAGGTGCTAGTCTTGCAGGAACCTGCTCTCCACGGTTATCTTCATCCGTACTGTTTTGAAGTTGGCTTTTAACCCTGCTTGGTTTTGTGGTCTTGCTGTCTCTGCAGTGCTTGGTTGGAAGTTGCTTATTTTTGTACCTGTTCATCATTCTCGGAGCTTTGTCATGGTCATTGTGATGCTGATGCTTCTTACAAATTGTCACATGCTGTAGTGTTAAAGGCCACAGTCTATGGGTCAAAGTGAAACTCAGAACTACAGTGTGCCGGCTGTGGGGCCAAGGCAAGTTAAATGACAGTCTGTGCCTCAATTTTTTTATCTGTAAAATGGAGCTACAGTAGTTCCTCCTCAAAGAGTGGCTGTGATGTGCAATTAGTACAAATGCAATGAAAGGTGTTTGGTGTTTTCGTAGCTGTTCTGCCTCCTGATCTTCACTAAAACTCTTGACTTCTTTCTGGTTAGGCCAGACCCTGAGTGGCATTTGTTTCTCTAGGTTCAAATTTAAATCTGCCCTCCTTATTGTCTTTTGGAAAGCCAGACCATTCTTCAGTTTTGTCTCATGATGGTTTCCTTTCTCCTCCTCACATAGATAGCTTCCTTTCTCACGTGGTACGGTCTGAGTTTCCTTGATGCCTATTCTGTGCCAGATTTTACACTGACAAGCATTGTCACCTAATTCTTCTATATGCTTTTCAATTTCCCTAACTGAACTTAAAACTTCATGGTGCTGATCATCAAATATTAACCTTTTGAGCTGTTCATACCTACACAACCTTAGACAATGAATAAACATTTTCCTGAATGAATTGTTTAAATAACTAATACTCTTTGAAAGTGCCTAGAAACCTTCTAGATGGCTTGGGGGACTCTCTCTCTCTCTCTCTCTCTCTCTCTCTCTCTCTCTCTCTCTCACTCTCACTTTTGGTCTTGCTGTGTAATGCAAGCTGGCTTTGAACTCATTATGTAGCTCAGCCTCCTGGGATGCACTATGGTGCCTGGCTGGGCTGGTATTCCCTTTAGAAAATGTCCTGATTGACAGCCCTCCACTGCTTCTCAGTGGACAAGTCTGAAAGCAGGAAGGTCCTTAGTGACCTTAGTGTCTGTGTCCTTAGTGAGGGCATGGTACTATTAGCAGCCATAGCCTGAAAACTGAAAGAGGATGTAAAGAAAAAGGATTCCAAGAATCCTGGGTGAGGCATTTGGGGTACTAGAGAGCCAAAGAACTTTGCTCAGGAGGTGTCTTCTGATCCAGGTTCAGACTCACTGAAGAAATTTTCTTTACCCTTGAGCCTCTGACCTCTAATATGTTACATAAAACTGTGGACCAGATCCTTGGCTTTCTCAACAGAGATAATATTTTTTTTTTAATTGAGGGTGTCATTCTGCATTTTCTCTTTCCCTTTCTTCTTTGTCTTGTTAGGTTGCCTTTGAGCTTTGGGATGAAGATCTTTTCATTAAGATAATTTCTCCTCCACCTCAACCAGAAGCAGAAAACTGGAACTTCTTGATTCTGCCTCTTCTTGTTTACCACTATCAAATTAGCAAATCCTACCTTCATTTGAGAATGTAGCTTCTGAATGAATCTATGGGCGAAACTTTCGGGCCACACACTCCATGTCCCTCCTGCACCGCTTTTCCTTAGGTTTATTGAAGTAACCCTTCTATTGGTCTCCATATCTTCATGTTTCTCTTCTCTGACCTGTTTTGAGGACTGTACTCTCTCAGAGTTATCTTTGAAAAATACAAATCTTATCTTGTACCATTCGTAATTGCTTCCATTTTGTGTGTGTGTCCTTAAAACACAGGCTAAGTTTTATAATTTGATATGTCATTGCCTGTGAGATGCCCGTGGTTGGATTCCTGCTTGTTCCCCAAGGCGCCCATGCCGAGAGGCGGGTTTCCTGTCTCCTCCAGCCACGCTCACCTCCTGCTCTTTCTTCAAATGCACCATGTACCTTCACAGCTCCCGATTTTGAGTTTACCGTTTCATACTTTGTAATTACATGTATCTGTTTTTTTGAAAAAGAAAAACAATGCATTTACTTATATGTTGGTCTGTCACAGTAATATGTAGCTGTCAAGCTTAATAGTACTTGCAGATTTGTCCACTTTAATTAAAAAAAATTTTTTTTGAGACAAGGTCTCGCTATACATTTCAGGCGAGCTCACTTTGTAGCCCAGGCTCGAACTCGCTACGATCCTCCTGCCTTAGTCTCCCAAGTGCTGGGCTTACAGGCATGAGCTACCATGCCAGGATTAATTAAAATTTTTAAAGTTTTAATTTTGAAAAGCTTCTTTTACATGAAGCAATACATATGAAAGTCAGACAATATCTTACGAGGGATATGTTTGGTGTTTGCTTTGGCAGCACTTATACTAAAATTGGAATGATCTGGGGAAGACTAGCCTGGTGCCTGGCATGGATGACACACAGAATTGTGAGGCATCCTGCGTTTTAAACAGAAAGGGTGTGTTTGGTATAATCAGAAAAATCCTATCGCACTGTATTTTCCAGAAATTTAAAAATCCACAGTGTAATCTTTCAGATCAATTATAATGACTTTGAAATGTCTCATTAACTAAAAATTTCTAAACTGGGTATCACTATACCCAGATTACACTGTGGTACATGCCTGTAAACCCAGCGCTCCAGAGGCTGAGGCAAGACGATCTTTGAGAATTTGAGGCCAGCCTGGGCTACAAAGTGAGTTAAAGGTCAGCCTCAATTGCACAGTGAAACCTTGTCTCAAAAAGACCGGAAGAAAATTCCAATAAAATACCCTAATTGAAAATTAATTGAAACTGAGCACAGTGGTGCATGCCTGTAATCCCAGCACTAAGGAGACTGAGGCAGGAAGATCACTGTGAGTTCAAGGCTACTCTGGCCCTCAAATGAGTTCAAGTCCAGTCTGAACTGCATAGTGAGACCCTGTTTCAGAAGATTTTTTTTGAAATGGATTTTGGAAAAAAATTTAAATAAAAAGAGAAAAATCACCAAATGGTAGAAAATATTGACATTAGCAATTCATTGCATTAGAACAAGTATCTAGTTTTTTCAAAATGATTGAGGTTTAGAACATTGTTCTTTAAAAATTTTTAGTAATGTCAGACTAGCATATTTTGTTGCTGCTTCTGATATTCAAAACGTGCATCTTTTTCTCTATGTAGATGTCCATTTTCTTACATTTTTTACATAGCATATTTATTTGGCTTCTCCAAAAGTTCTGTGCACTGATTTTTTCAAGGAGAAGATTTTAAAGTTTGGGGTTTCATGCACATTTTTTCAGTAACTTCTTTCTCTTTAGAACTTTGTGTGTGTTTCTGATTAACCTTATGTAATAATTTACTCTTTAAAAAAGTTAACACGAGAAAGAAAAATTTAGCAGAGAGGAAAACCTACTGATTTTCTTGTGTCTATATTTTTTGATAGTGAAGTACTTCAGAGATTGAAATTAACTTTTCAAAATTTATCTTCGCTGAATGCACAGCTTCGAAACGAATACTCTGTTGTGCCTGGAGAAGTCTTTACACTATTGTATCATCCCTATAATCTATAATATTCTTCACCAATGAATTTTGTCAAAATTGATAAACAGAGAGAATAATTTTTTCAAGTCTCAGAAAGTATCACACATGAAGAAACTCTTTCAATAGAGTGAACTCTTTAAAGATTTGAAGAATGGTTTGTACAAGGAACCTGTTATGGTTTATATGTAGAAGTCCCCCCAGTGTCTCATGCATGCATAGTGGGGCTTTTGGGAGGTAGCTGGATTATGGATGTGATAGCTGGATTAACCCACTGATTGGTTTAGCAGAGTTCCGGGTGTGGATAATACAAAAGGTCACCCTGGGTGTGGATGGTACCATCCAGTCGATCTGTAGCCCACATGGAATAAAAAGGGAAAGGAAGGCCACTGCAGGCTGCTTCCCACCTGCCATGCCATAAACTATTTCTCTTCTGCCATGGTGCCCTGCATTGATATTGGCTAACTATGAACTGAAAACTCTACAAACTGTAAGGTAAAAGGAGCTGGGTATTTTGCCCTAGAATGAGAAAAGTAACAGACAGCACAAATAAGAATACTTGGAATAATTTCTTTGACTTTTACTCAGTCTCCACAGTGGGTCTTGGCTATAGTTTCAGCAGTATCGTGTCCTTGAGTAGAACAGAGTTTCATGTCCAGAACATCACTTTCTAGTTATGTTTGATTTTTATGTGATTTAGGAACAACTGACCTAGAAATAGGAAAGAAATTCATGAGTGAATCCATTTTCAAAATTTTGTGTTCTTAGTACAAACATAACTGAACACTTTATATACGATCAGAGTTTGAAATACCAGGAGGGCTGATTGTTCTGCAAAACAGCCAGAATCCTGGAGATACAAAAAGAATTTGAAATGAACTCAGATTATATATGCCATGTATTAATCAGTTTCCCATCACTGTGATAAAAATACTTGAGAAAAGCAACTTAATGATACAAAGGTTTAGACTGAGTCTGCCTATGTTAGAATCTAATTATTCATTTAGTTATTCAAATTTACTTCCACATTTAATAATGTGTATTCAAGAAAAAGTAATAAAATTGATAATTTACAGCTTACACATATAGTATTCAAGCTCAACAGTAACTGCAGTAGTTATTTAGAACTTTAATAAACAAAGTGCTTCTTATTGCTGAAAGAAGTGCTTTTAAAATTTTTTATTTTTAAATTTTCTTTTAAAATTTTGGCACCAGGGATTGAACTCATGACCTCACGCTTACCAGGCAGGTGCTTAAGCCCCTGAGCTAAATCCCTGGCCCTAAATTTTTATTTTAAAGAGAATAAAATCAAGCAAAATGAAACAGAACGAAGCCAAGCAAAAACCAGTGTAAGTGACATAGGACTTCAAAACAATAGGAAATCAACAACGGTTACCATAATAGCCTGAGAGGAGTATTTTATCAACAGCACCATCTAAAATTGCCAGAGCATAGTAATAATAAAAAGCAAGCTGAGCTCAGTTTGTTACTGATTTTAACCTTCCTAAAGACACTGGCCCACTGGCCCAGCCCTGGGAACAAAATACTCATGAAGGTGACCTTCTCTAGCTTTTGTACTTATGCAGGCCTCATCTGTTTAATCTCAACCCCAAATTCACTTTGTCATTTGTAAAACATTTATAACAGTTCACAATTTATTTATGGGATGTGTCTATCTCCTCCACTAGTCTGTAGTTTGTGTTCTCCTGAGAGAATAAACTGCAGCCCTTGGCCATCTGTATTTTTAGTGCCTACTCTAGAGCCTGGCACATACTTGGCAGACAAAACAAAAAAGGCTGTGGAAGTGTTTTGTAAGGACCAATAAATTTCTAGAAATCAGATTTTGGATCAACACAATTGTTCACAAAGATCTCCTAGTTGTATTCCTTACACAAGAGCTTGCAAAGCCTAGAAGTGTAGTGTCATCTGCTCCCATCACAAAGGTGATCATCAGAATTTAAAAATTTTTTTATGAGCACACGTTTGTAGTACATACTGATTACTGTCTTTGTAGGGAGCTGAGATCTGTGTACCACACCTCTCAATTCTTTTTTGTTTGTTTTTGAACTCTCAATTCTTTTTTTCATCCCCTTTATTTCTCTCACCCTTTCATCACGTGATCTTCTATTTGAAAGAAAAAATACTGTATCTTCCTATTTCCTATTACCTGTCTTTTAGTTTGCTCTTTTATTTTGGGTTTCTCATATAAGTGAGACCATGTGATATTGAAGCCTGTGTGTCTGATTTACTTCACATAATATCATGGTCTCAGAGTGGATCTATTTTCTTACAATTGGCTCAAGTCTATCATTCTTTATGACAGAGTAATACCCCATTGTGTATAGGGTCTCATTTGCTTTATCCATTTCATCTGTTGACGGACATGTAGGCTGCTTCCAAGATTTCTCTATTATGAAATGTGTTGCTGTAAACAGAGGTATGCATGCATCTCTGTGATATGATAACTAACTCTTCCGATAACTAACTCTTCCAGGAAGACATGTAGGAGGGGACGAGCTGGGATGAGTGGAATTTCTGGCTTTAGTTTTCTGAGGAATCTCCATAGCAATACCCATAGTGGTTGTGCAAGTTTACATTCCTTCCAATAATGTAGAAGGGTTCCATTTACTTTCATTTTTACCAGCATTTTCTATTTGATTTCTTGATGATGACCATTCTCCCTGAAGCCTGATGGAGTCTCAGTGTTGTTTTAATTTGTATTTGCTCACTAGCCAGCAATGTTGAACATTTCTTCATATATTTATTGACCATTTATACTTCTTTTGAGAGGGTGTCTATTTCACTTGCCCATCTTTTGATTGGGTCTTTTTATTTTGGATGTCTAGTTTTTGAGTTCTTTATATATTCTAGATATTAGTCCTTTGTCTGAGGAATAGCTGGCAAAAAAGTATTCTGTAGGTTGTCTCTTCACTGTCCTTTTCTTTCACTGTGCAGAAGCTTCCTAATTTGATATGATTCCACTTGTTACTTCTTTGTACTATTTTGTGTGCTGCTGGGGTTCCATTCAGAAAGTCCTTGCCTATACGTATATCTTCAAAAACTTTACTTACTTTATCTGTCAGTAGATTAAGCGTCTCTGTTTGAACATTTAGATCTTTGGTCCATTTTGATTTTAGTTTTGCAGATGGTGAGAGACATGGGATTGCATTCAACCTTCTGACCTGGGTAGTCAATGTTCCTGGCAACATTTATTAAAGTATATGTTTTTCTCCAGTATATGTTTTTTGGCCTCCTTGTCAAAAATCAAAGAGCTGACTGTACCTGTGGTTATTTCTGTGTTGGGAGCCGCGGCCGACACCGGTCGCCTTACTTGGCGGACGTAGGGCCTGTGGGTGGGAGCGGAGCCTGAGCTAGATTGCCCCTCCCATCGAGTGAGCCAAGTTGGCGCCTGCTTCCTGCCCCCTGATTGCCCTGGCGACTTAAACAACCCGCTCTGTAAGATAGTCTGCCTAGCAACAACTGATGTTAGCCAGTCAGCCCGCATCGCGCGCTTTAAACTGATTGGCCACTGTTACCCTATAAAAGTGAATGCCTCTCCCGCCACGAGGAAGAAGCACGAGAGAGATAGAGAAAGTCCACCGGCGAGAAAGGACTGGTGGCAGAGAGGAGGCCTCGCGGGGCCCACGCGGAGACAAATAAAGGCAAGGTTGCACACCGCCAGACTTTGTCGTGTGTCTTTCCTGCCGGCCGGGAGCGACCCCGACATTTCTGCATCCTCTATTCTGTCCCAGTGACCCACATGACCATTTTTGTGTTAGTCCCTTGCTGTTTTTGTGAGTGTAGCTTTGTAATATAACTTCAAATCTAGGACTACGTGCTTTTCTCTTGTTACCTAGGATTGCTTTACTGTTCTCTCTTTTGCTTCTGTGTGAATTTTAGGATTGTTTTCTCTTTGTTCTGTGAGGAACACTA